TCTATCTATCTATCTATCTATCTATCTATCTATCTATCTATCTATCTATCTATCTATCTATCTATCTATCTATCTATCTATCTATCTTCTGGAGGCAGGGGAGGTGAAAAACAGGCCATTTTCACCTGTTTTTTGACCTCTTGTGACCTCCTATGCATCCCTTTTTTCACCTCCCCTGCCTCCAGAGTGTCTCTGCAGGCGAAAGTTGTTGGCCTTACCTTTCCAGCCCACAGGGCTCCTGAAGGTAAGTCTTGTGCTTGGCTGAAGGGTGGGTGGGGCGATGTGGGTGAGGCAGCGTTGTCCTGGGCAGGCCAGATTAATGGCTTCAATGGGCCACATGTGGCCCCCGGGCCGTAGTTTGAGGACCCATACATTAAGCTATAATTTGTTTAGGGCTGGTTTAAGCACCGTTAATGTACACGGTGCCAAGCATGCAGTTTAATACATTCTGTGAACAATGTTGCATCAATGAACCTTCCCTTGGTGATATTTTCCAGAAAAAAAACATGTTTTGTTGTTTTCTAAAAACAGTATATTCTGTGAATATTCCCCCACCTGCCCAGAAGATGAACAGAGATGCTTTGAAAGTCAAATTCAATTTATGGATTCTTTTTTATTCCACGCTGAGATACAATTTGTTGATTTTAATCACATCTAAGCTAAGACAGCTACTGGTAGATTTCTGGGGAATGCCAGAAATAATTCAGATTGCTGCAAGTCGGCTGTGAATCTTTTGGACTGTGGGTTGTAACTGAATTTTAATAGTGATGAGGTCTCTGAGGAAGACAAAAAAAAAAGCCTTCTTAGTGCAGGTAGATGGAAACGGAGGAGCCTTCTGTATCAAGTTTTTGTTTTACACGTCTAAAGCATTTGAATGGACATTGCAAAACACGCCAAGATGAGGGCTGGGTCCTCCAGTCCCGCCTGGGATCTCTTTGCATCCATGTGAAGTTGAAAAAGGGAAGGTTTTTTATGTGGTGGGGGGGAGTTTGCAGCATTGGGGTGGGAACCTTGGGAACCTGTAGTTGGAGGTGGCTTGTCCTTCCCATAATGGCTACCCAAACTGTTTGCAAAGCGTGGTTTTGTTAGATCTGCCCCTCCTGATTGCCACCATCCCTGCTTCCCTTTGCCCTTTATCTGGGCACATGGGCACAGTTCCAGAGAAAACGAAAGGCAAGGGTTGCCCATCCTTTCAATTTTCTAAGAAAGCTCATGAGTCTCAGTGGGGCATTCTTGGACATGGAGGTCTCCTGGAAACCACTGGGCACTCATTGTTTTGCATATGGCTCTCCAGTTCAGACAAGTCCCAAGTTTGGAGTATAATTTTGAGTCAGCCAAGGAAGGACACTGAATGACCAAGAGAATCATTCAGTGGCCGTGTTAATTTGGGAGTTGAATTAAGTGGTCTGAATTTCCATAATCTGCCAAACAGTAAGCAAATCAAATATGCTAGATTCCTACCACACTGAAGGTATCTCTTGCATGCTGTGTGGATGCATCTGCTGACTCTCTGCCTAGCTAAATACATTTGTGAGTGTCATTAATAAATTTGCCCGGTTCACAATCAGGGCATTGGATTTATTGCCACGGAGTAACCAAGATGCCCCTGGCCATTCAAAAGCAGATGGCAGACAGACTTGCTGCTTTCCTTTCAGCATCCAGTATAGAAGTTCTGGGTTGAGTTCCAGAAGACCAGCCAGAAGAGATGGGTAGGTCTCTTGGTCTCACTTTCCATCTTACTCTCTTACTCCTGCCCTTATCTGTAGTGTCCTCTGCTGGAAGTTGATCAACATTGCAAGCCCATCATGCTGGCTATCCTCACTGTTACTGTTTTGGTCTCACCAAGGATGATTGCAAGATACCGTCTAAAAAGGCATTGCACATAAAATGCATTGCATATAAAAAGAGGTGCAGCTGTAACCACAGTCACCATCTTAATTTGGCCATTACCCTCTGGAAACGTGTGTCTCCGAAGTGTTCAATTTGGGTTCATTTGAACAAAAGGTTTATTTTTTGCTGCCCAGTCTTGTCCTTGTGCTACTCTGTGGACTGTTGCTTTTCCCAAAGGATCAGCCTGCTTGAGCTGTCTGCTGCTATTCTGGTTGACTCCCCTTCTATTGTTAACACCCCAGCTATCAAGTTGTGTATGCAGATTGTCAAGGTATTCAGCCACGGTCTGCTGGCAAATAACAGACTGGCTGAATATTGCAGGAAAAAAGTGGTTCTGCTCCATCAGATCTCTCCTGAGCTGCCTGGAGGCCCAGAGAACCAGACTGGCCGGTGGTAAATGCATCTTTCTCAGCCTCTGGAGCAGGAAAGGAGAGGAGGAAGCCCTCTTGGGGCAGGGAGAGAGATGAAAGCCAACAGGCTAAGAGTGGCTTTCCTCCTTTGGTCTCCAGAGCGGGGATGACCACATCTTCTCCCTATAGAATAACAACAACTGGGCTGGCTGGGGATGATGGAAAGTCTAGTCATAAATGTTTTCAAAGGAAAAGACCGTAAAGGTAGGCATGGACTTAAGACAAGTAGCTTTAGCAACCATTCACAGTTTTCATGAGCCTTGGAGTGCTTACGACCTGGATTCAAAGCTCGGACAGTCAGCCTGTGATCACATGACTGGACATCAGGTGCCAGGATCACATTTACAGATGTTTGCAATGTCTCCTAATCAGGTGACCTTGTTTTACAAAGGTTTTGATGAAAACTGGCAGTTACTTCCGGGTTTGGGCAAAATTGCATCTAAGGCGAACTATTGGTTCACAACAACCGTGCATTTTGCTTAACTTCTACTTCAAAGAGTCCTAAAATCAGGTCAATCACGTGACCAACCTGCTTTGCAAGCATCATGAGTTACAATTGTGATGCTCCCATTAGTGTCATAAGTATTATCATCCATTTGTGGCTGGAATAGCCCAAACCCTAGATGATAGGCTGAAAAACCAGGTGGATCTTGACAGACTTAAACACTGGGCCCTAGCTAACAAAATGAAATTCAACGTAGAGAAAAGTAAAGCAAGAAAAACTAAAAGGACACATATAGACTGGGTGAAACCAGGCTTAATAGAATGACTGTGAGTGGGATCTTGGAGTCTTAGTGGACAATCAAATATGAGCCAGCTGTGTGCAGTGGCAGCCAAAAAAGTCAATGTAATCCTAAATTGCATTAACAGATGGAATCAATCAAGATCAAGAGAGATACTAATACCACTCTATAAAGCCTTAGTAAAACCACACCTACAATACTGCATCAGTTTTGGACCCCACACTATAAAAAAGATGTTGAGACTCTAGAAAAAGTGCAGAGAAGAGCAACCAGGATGATGAGGGGACTGGGGGCTAAAACATATGAAGAACGGTTGCAGGACCTGGGCCTGGCTAGTCTAGGAAAAGGACCAGGGGAGACATGATGGCAGTGTTCTAATATTTAAAGGGCTGCCAGAGAGGAGGGGAGTCAAGCTATTTTCCAAGGCACCTGAAGGTGAAACAAGGAATATTGGATGGAAACTGACCAAGGAGAGATTCAACCTGGAAATAAGGAGGAATTTCCTGACAGTGAGAACAATCAACCCATGGAACAGAAGTTGCCTTTGGACGTTGTAGGAGCTTCATTACTGGAGGCTTTCAAGAAGAAACTGGACTGCCATTTGTCAGAAATGGTGTACGGCAGGGATATCAAACTAAATTTCTTCAAGGACTGGATCAGCATTGTAGCTCTCCTCTGCGGGCCAGCAGGGTGGTGGGGATACGGGACAGACACCTCCCGCAGCACCCTGCCGGCCAAAAACGAACTATGCAACCTGTTTTTGGCCACAGAGGCACCATAGGCCAGTCCTTTGATATTTCCAGGCTGGCCCCATGGGCCAGATTTAAGCACCCTACAGGCCAGATCCGGCCAAGGGCCTTGAGTTTGACACCCCTGGTGTAGATGCTCCTGCTTGGGCGGGGGGTTGGACTAGATGACCTGCAAGGTCTGTTCCAACTCTGTTAATCTGTTAATTTCCAAGGCACGATAAGACTGTACCATTCACACTAAACATTTTATTTTCCAAATTGCACATAGACAATTTAACAGCAACAACTGCAAGAAAAATGTATTTCTAATACTGGTAGACTTCTATTTATCATTTAGTGACTGTTCAGGGTTATAACAGCACTGAAAAAAGTGACTGATGACTGTTTTTCACCTGACCATTGCAGCATCTCCACGGACACATGATTTACATTCGGATGCTTGACAACCGACTCATACTTATGACGGTTGCAGTGTCCAGGAGTCACATGATCACTTTTTGCAACCTTCTGACAAGCAAAGTCCAAGGGGAAGCCAGATTCGCTCAACAACTGGGTTACTAACTTAGTAACTGCAGTGATGCACTTAACTGTGACAAGAAAAGTCATAAAATGTGGCAAAACTCAACTGTTTTGCTTAGTAATAAATTTTGGGATCAATTATGTCCATAAGTTGAGGACTACCTGTAATACTGAAGAATATTGAATTTTTCTCTTGTTTTCCCTTTCCATACTGGGATAAGCAGTGGGAGTTGCAAACCAATTTATTGGAAGGGAGAAGCGTGTTGAGTTGGTTGGTGGGATAGAGCGGTCTCGATTGCCCATGTCAAGAGCAGAGGCAGAGGTTGTAGATCCAAAGTGGGGCTGCCAACTGGGAGCGGATTGCTCCAATAGGCCAGGCTTACCTGCGGGCGTGCAGCAGGGATGCCCCCCTCCAGCCCATCTGTGCCAGTCTCATTCAGTGCAAGGCCCGTTTCGCATCATGGGAAGCTTGTGGGGTCCTTGGCAGAATCCTCTACAGACTTTGCTGCTGTTATTTTTCTCCAGGCTATCTACAAAATGGTCTCATCAGTGATGAAGATGCCAGATGATGAATCAACTCCCGAGAAACGGACGGAAAAAATCTTCCGACAGATGGATACCAATAATGATGGTAAATGAGGAGACAGAGAGATTAAGACACAAGCGCATCACTAATCCAGAGCTTTTAAGCAAGAAGGCAGGAAAGCTGATTAAATACAGTGACAAGGGGCTGTGGGGGGAGGGAGGTTGCCCCACAGCTCTGCCAGGCTGGACAAGAGGGAGGCACTTCTGGCTAGTAATTTCTGGCATTTTACCTTTATATAGCCTTCTTTCCTTCCTTCCTCTATGTGTCTCTTTCTTTCTCTTTCTCTTCTTTTCCTGTCTTTCCTTCCTTCCTTCCTTCTTCTATGTGTCTCTTTCTCTTCCTTTCCCTCTGTCTTTCTTTCCTTCCTTCTTCTGCGTGTCTCTTTCTTTCTCTTCCTTTCCCTGTCTTTCTTTCCTTCCTTCCCCCTTCTTCTATGTGTCTCTTTCTTTCTTTCTCTTCCTTTCCCTTTGTCTTTTTTCTTTCCTTCCTTCCTTCTTCTATGTGTCTCTTTCTCTTCCTTTCCCTCTGTCTTTCCTCCCTCCCTTCCTTCCTTCCTTCCTTCCTTCCTTCCAACACAAGCATATTACATTTGATGAAGAATAAGAAAAATAAGGTGATCAGATGCTGCCCTTAAAAAAAAGATCTTGCAGGTTACTTTTGCATCACTGCCCAGCATATGTTAGGCTTCTTGCAGGAAA